CATTAATCCAGCCTCCAAAATCCCTTCTATAGCAGTTCCAGAAAGCCCATGTGTCTCGTAAGCAGCTCACAATTCAGGCAAATTCACTGCCCCACAGAATATGTGTCTTTGGTGGCTGATTCTTTTAAACTGCTGGAGTAAGACCAAGTCTGGTATGAGGCCTCTATTTTGACTATGAAACTAGAAGACAGACAAAGAAAGGTATGTGGGAGTTTCTCAGCAAGAGCCAGGCTAACCCTTCAGAACTAGAATAAAGCTGTAGTTTCTCGACAGAGCTGCTATGATTCCCATTCTATGGTGAGGAGGGCCTTATAAGTACCTAGGTTTCAGAGTAGCAGCCCTGTTAGTCTGTATCCACAAAAAGAAAAAGATTACTTGTGGCACCTTAGAGACTAACAAATTTATTAAAGCATAAGCTTTTGTGGGCTATAGCCCACTTAATCGGATACACAGAATGGAACATATAGTAAGAAGATATATATATATATATATATATATATATATACACACACACACATACATACAGAGAATGTGGAAGTTGCCATACAAACTGTAAGAGGCTAATGAATTAAGATAAGCTATTATCAGCAGGAGAAAAAACCTTTTGTAGTGATAATCAAGATGGCCCATTTAGACAGTTGACAAGAAGGTGTGACAGGTTTCAGAGTAACAGCCATGTTAGTCTGTCTTTGCAAAAAGCAAAGGAGTACTTGTGGCACCTTAGAGACTAACCAATTTATTTGAGCATGAGCTTTCGTGAGCTACAGCTCACTTCATTGGATGCATACCGTGGAAACTGCAGTAGACATTATATACACACAGAGACCATGAAACAATACCCCCTCCCACCCCACTGTCCTGCTGGTAATAGCTTATCTAAAGTGATCATCAAGTTGGGCCATTTCCAGCACAAATCCAGCTTTTCTCACCCTCCGCCCCCACACACACAAACTCACTCTCCTGCTAGTAATAGCCCATCCAAAGTGACCACTCTCTTCACAATGTGTATGATAATCAAGATGGGTCATTTCCAGCACAAATCCAGGTTCTCTCACTCCCTCACCCCCCTCCAAAAACCACACACACAAACTCACTCTCCTGCTGGTAATAGCTTATCAAAAGTGACCACTCTCCCTACAGAATACTTAACATGGGGAAATGGATTCAATATGTGTAAAAAGAAAAGGAGTACTAGTGGCACCTTAGAGACTAACCAATTTATTTGAGCATTTGCTTCAGGTTGGGGGGTTGTCTGTAGGCAAGGACTGGCCTGTCTCCCAGCTTTCACCCAGACCACACCACACGATCCATTGTCTACAGCCAAGCTCTACGATACAACCGCATTTGCTCCAACCCCTCAGACAGAAACAAACACCTACAAGAGCTCTACCAAGCATTCTTACAACTACAATACCCACCTGCAGAAGTGAAGAAACAAACTGACAGAGCCAGAAGAGTACCCAGAAGTCACCTACTACAGGACAGGCCCAACAAAGATAACAGAACGCCACTAGCCATCACCTTCAGCCCCCAACTAAAACCTCTCCAATGCATCATCAAGGATCTACAACCTACCTGAAGGACGACCCATCACTCTCACAAATCTCGGGAGACAGGCCAGTCCTTGCCTACAGTCAGCCCCCCAACCTGAAGCAAATACTCACCAGCAACCACACATCACACAACAGAACCACTAACCCAGGAATCTATCCTTGCAACAAAGCCCGTTGCCAACTGTGTCCACATATCTGTTCAGGGGACACCATCATAGGGCCTAATCACATCAGCCACTCCATCAGAGGCTCATTCACCTGCACATCTACCAATGTGATATATGCCATCATATGCCAGCAATGCCCCTCTGCCATGTACATTGGTCAAACTGGACAGTCTCTACGTAAAAGAATAAATGGACACAAATCAGATGTCAAGAATTATAACATTCATAAACCAGTCAGAGAACACTTCAATCTCTCTGGTCACTTGATCTCAGACCTAAAGGTCACAATATTAAAACAAAAAGACTTCAAAAACAGACTCCAACGAGAGACTGCTGAATTGGAATTCATTTGCAAACTGGATACAATTAACTTAGGCTTGAATAGAGACTGGGAGTGGATGTGTCATTACACAAAGTAAAACTATTTCCCCATGTTTATCCCCCCTCCCCCGCTCCTCGGATGTTCCTGTTAACTGCTGGAAATGGCCCACCTTGATCATCACTACAAAAGGTTCTCTCTCCCCCCATCTCCCTGCTCTCCTGCTGGTAATAGCTCATCTTAAGTGATCACTCTCCTTACAGTGTGTATGAGAACACCCATTTTTTCATGTTCTGTGTGTACATAAATCTCCTCACTGTATTTTCTACTGAATGCATCCGATGAAGTGAGCTGTAGCTCACGAAAGCTCATGCTCAAATAAATTGGTTAGTCTCTAAGGTGCCACTAGTACTCCTTTGCTTTTTGCGAATACAGACTAACACAGCTGCTACTCTGAAACCTGTAATGACCCAGCCACTCCCAGTTTCTGTTCAAACCCAAGTTAATGGTATCTAGTTTGCCTGTTTTACTGAGTGGCCAGAGAGGTTGAAGTGTTCTCCTACCAGTTTTTGAATGTTATCATTCCTGAGGTCAGATTTGTGTCCATTTATTCTTTTTCGTAGAGACTGTCCAGTCTCCAGCAAGAAACTGCTGAGCTTGAATTAATATGCAGACTAGATACTATTAACTTGGGTTTGAACAGAAATTGGGAGTGGCTGAGTCATTACACATATTGAATCCATTTCCCCATGTTAAGTATCCTCACACCTTGTCAACTGTTTAAATGGGCCATCGATTATCACTACAAAAGTTTTTTTCTCCTGTTGATAATAGCTCATCTTAATTAAGTAGCCTCTTACAGTTTGTATGGCAACTTTCACCTCTCGGATGGATGGATGCATAGATAGATGGATCTTCTTACTATATGTTCCATTCTATGCATCCGATGAAGTGGGCTGTAGCCCACGAAAGCTTTATGCGCTAATAAATTTGTTAGTCTCTAAGGTGCCACAAGTATTCCTGTTCTTTTTATAAGTACCTAGATATTTGACTACTCTACTCAACTGTGAGGGGGAAAATACATTGAAGCTAAACATTCAGATGCTTCACAAAAAGAGGGAGAGAGATTTGATCCACCTGCAAACAGCAAGAGCAAATCAGCACAAAGGCAGCCATTACAGATGGATCCTTTGGAAATAAGGGATATCTATATTGCTCTACAGAAAGTCTTGTGAAGGATTTGGGCTACAGCAGTGCTAAGTGCTCTAGGTCAAAACAGGTCATAGACCCAGAAAATAAATATTTCTGAGAAGTGAGCTGGGTTGCTAGGGAAGGGCCGCACATTTTTAGCACTGCCTGGGGGAAACACCCCTCAGATTGGTTGCTTTCCCCACTTGCTTGGGTACTCTTCCCCAGGAAGCAATCAGGGCTTATACAGGAAGAGCTCACCCCTCTCCCCAGTAACATGACACCAGTCTCACAGGAAGGGATTGGGAGGACGAAATGCTGAGCCATGCTGAGCAGGTCTGCTCTTTCCTTCCACATCCCACTCCTGTGAGAAACAGACCATTCCTTTGCTCCTTCCCCCTTCCCACTCTGCAACACCCAAGGACAGGGGAAGGACCCCTTTGAAGCACACACACACACGCTCGCCTGGGAGAGGGCTGAAGAACCTCAGGAGCTGCAAATGCAAGGCTGGCCGGGGCAGAACTGATGTGGGGGTTGGAACGCACAATTAATTGCTGGGCAGGGGGATGGGCAGATGGAAGGGTGATGAGACACCCCCACATATACTTTTTTCAAATCATTCTGAACACTGGTCACATCTTTGGTACTAGCTCTCCTCTCACTAACTCCCCACCCCAGTACCATTTTACCCAATGAGTGACTTCACCTGCAAGTGATGATAAATGCTGAAAGCAGGAAACAGTTATTGATCCACAGCAACCAGATGAGGACAACATTACCACCTCGTCCTCCACTAAATGAAGTCACAGAACCCCCTTTACCCAGTTTATTAAAAGAAAAAATAATCTCACTTATTTCATTATCTGGATTTAAAATATATTTAAATTAAACTGAAACAGTTATACTCTTAGTGTTTCTTGGATATTTTCCTCCCAATTATTTTTTTACTTTGTAAATTCAGCTCGTGTGAGAGTTAGAAAACTATGATAAATGGAGAACATGACACCCCACAAGAACCAAAATAGAGAAATTGAGCTGAGACAGGACTTTAGTCAAACTGTTTAAACTCTTGTGCACCGGTGCAACCATGGGAAGGAGTTTTTATTAACCCCTATTTAAGTTCAGTAACCAAATAGCATTTTGGATAAGGAAAATCTTTAAGATTTGATGCCCTCATCCCCATTCCCCTTTATTTATAGATTTTGCGTTAAACGTCTTTGAGGCCTTCCAGAGGTCTCCCACAAAACCAGAAAAGACTGAATTTATCATTCATGATCTTTCAAAATGTGAAAATCACAAGTTAAATCTCTCATACCTTCTTTATACTATTATATAAAAGAGCAAAAAAGGATGTAGGATAATTTTTTAAAACTTGCTTGCAGGTGATTTTTAAGAAATAGTAAACAAGGTTTTCATTAACTGCTGTTCCAAGTCAGTAATTGGCTGGCCCAGGAGTAGACATTGGGACCCACATTAAATAATGTCCACTTCCTCCTCTAAATAATTAATTCAAGACAATAAAGTTTTCATGTTAAAACTAAATTAGTAAGTTGAAACAACAAGTATAAAAGATTGTCATATTCAAGATGTATTTCAAGGCATTGGCAGCACAATGACAAATTAAATTAATTTCAGATACATAAGAATAATACAAATATGGACGGTTTGAAAAAAATACCACCACCCTGCAGGTAAAGTTGTGCACAGGCGGACTTTATGGCTGCTGAAGATGGTCAGTCAATTAACTTATGAAGGTGTTTATATGACCCTTACCATAGTATTTCAGTGCTAATTTGAAATTTTGTAGTTCTCAATCCCTGAAGTTCAGTGCTTCCTCTCCTTCGAGCTCAAGTTTTAAGGCGTTAAGAATCTTGTTTTTCCCTTGTATATTTTTCAACTCAAAGCAATTCTTGTTTGCGACAACTGCTGGATTTCAATACAGCCTTTTTTGTTCACTCATATATTTGAGAACAGATCCAAGAGGAAATGTCAGGGTATCAGGAGTAGTAATGAACTCCTTTGTAGTTCCTGACCTGCACAGGCAGAATTTTTTCCTCAGACTTAGCACCGCAACACCTGAAGAAAGAAACAGTTTAGAATTTGGCTCTCAAGGGCCCAATGATAGCAATATTCAAAGACAGACTGGGTTTTAATATGGATAACAAGACTATCCAGAGTTCTAATAATTCATACAAAGTATTTGCTGGGATGAAGACAAATCCTAAATGATTGGGACCATCATGGGGGGGGGGGGGACGGGACAGATTATCCTATATCTGCTTACCACAGGGGTTTTTGCACCTTCCTCTGAAGCATCTACTGCTGGCCACTGTCGGAGACTGAACGTTGGACTAGATAAACTATTGATCTGATACAGTATGGCAATTCCTATGTTCCTAGCCCCTATGGAAATGTTATAGAGGAACAGTGCCCCTCTACTGTCTATGTGGAGCACAAGGTCCCCTTAAGCAGAATCAGACGATTAAACAAAGGTTCCACTATTCCTGCAGGAGAGCAATAGTGGTAGAGCAGTGGGGAACAGGATGTTTTGGCTAGAGAAGAGCCATGCAGACAGACCATAGGGTGAGGGGCCCCCAGAGCCCTCCCCACCCTCACATGTACGGTAGGGGGGATTCCACTAAGGAACCAGTCTATAAGTACCCCCCAATTCTCCTTGTGAAGCACCAGCAGCAGCACAGCAGAGGTGGGGTGACCACCTCTCTGTTTTAAGCATCTGCACCAAGCTCACAGCCAGGTTAGAAAAACCTAGAGGTTTTCTTGGCTTTTACTCAGCCTGTAACAGGAAGTATGGTCACCTGTGCGTTCCCATTTTATCTTCTTAGTCTCCAACTGCAACAACCTCTCAGGTCACACTGAATTCACCTTCTGACACCTACCTCCAAGAAGTGCCCCACTGTTCCAAACTCCTCTAACTCCTTCTTACCCCCAATTCTTTCCTCCTGCAGAATTCCCCAAACCACTCCTGGATGTCCCAGGCGTCTTGCTGCTATCTTGCCTCCCAGTAGCCAGTCTACCTCCAACGTTCCCATTCCCAGCTACCCTTCACTATATTCTTCCTTAACTCCGCTTTTCATGACTCCTCCCTCAGTCTCAACCCACAGATTCCGGCTGTGTCCAATCTCCTCAACACACACATTTCTAGGCCCTGTGCCTGCTTCCTCCAAGCTTCCTCTATCCTCAGTAGCCAGGTTTTCCCCTGTGCCACTGCTCCACACAACTCAACCGGCTCTCAGCCAACCCTTTGTTGAACTGCATCCCAAATTTTCATTCTGAAGGAAAGAAAGTGCTGGGAAGGATAAGGGAAGACCAACTCTTTTTTCTTCCCCCACCTTCCAGTCTGTCAGCTTCCAAACTCCTTCCGTGTCACTCCCCTGACTTGCACCCAAACCCTCCCTGCTGCCACACACCAGCATGCCAGATTTCCATCCTCCTATCCCCCTCACCATGGCAGGTGGCCTGGCTTTTAGTTCTGAAAAATCTGGTGTCCCCTCACCCCCCAAGTCAGGATCAGAATGAGTGCCGCTGTAAGGAGTATTACACGGCTACTTCAATGATTATTCAGCAATCTTGCTGCAGATGTTTCTAATACCATGATAGTTGGCTCCACATTCAAACTTCTCAGCCAAAGAATAAATATATTTTGCCCTCTATATATTTTTGTGGTTTGCATAATTTTCTAAATATACTATGTAAATGTTATACTGAATCACGGACAGTGAATTAAAAGCCGCTAGGAGCAAATCACTTGTTTTACAAAGCATTCATGCTTTTAAATGCTCTTCATTATTATGGGAGATTAAAATACACCCTCTAGTGGTCCTCCATACAACTGCATAAATTTCAAAAAATTGCACACATTTAGGTACTATTTTAAACAGTATCAAATGCATATTTTTAGGGTGGATTACAAGAAATCATTTAGGGCAAAATTTGAGCCAGACATTTCACAGAATGTATATTATACTATAGTTTAGTTCTTTTCACCAAGCCTAACAACTTGAAATCTAACTTGTGACAGAGCACTCTTAATACAGCCTATTTCTCAATTCCTTTTAAAATGTTTTAACAGGAATTTCTGCTCCAGTTGGGTACTCATTCTTTGGGCTGGCCTGAGGGCAACCACCAAATATGTTCAGATCCTCCCTTCCACTACAGCCCGCCACCTTGCAATTCCAGTCTACTTTCAGTTTCATATCTGCAATAGATTAACACTCCCCTGCAGAGAGCATGCAGGATCAAGGTCACTGAAATGGACTATCCACAAAATATGTTGAATGCACAGTGTAAGTGAACAGGCGACAGGGGGAAATAAACTTGCTTTTTAACTTCTAAAAGATTGGTGGTAATTGCAACAATAGTAAGGACAAAATTTGCAGGTTGATTGTATGTAAGCTATTTGAGGATATTAAAGGAATTTTAAAAAACACTGCAAATATCAACCACTTTCCCCAACCCAGTAGCCTGTTACTTATCTACAAAGGGCTTATCAGAAAGCAAGAGAGCGAGCGCTTGACCTGCACAGGAAGCTTGTACGGTAATATTCTCCAGTCAATTTAAATAAAATCATTTGGCATGGAGTGTACACGCAAGCAGGGTCTTTTTTTGTTGTGTTTTGTTCTTAACTAGCTTTTCACTAATAAAGTTCTGATTCTGCAGTTATTTTCTTGAACTGTTAATTTCTAAGTCTTCCTAAATGGGCAACACGGATCATGATAAAAATGTATAAGACTCATTTTCACAGTAAAATTACAGGAATTAAGTTTATTTAGCCTAGCAAGATGCTCAACCAAGATGATCACATAAAATGATTAGCATAGTAATTACTCTTCACTCTGTCTACACTGAAATAAAAAGTTAAAGGTTAATAATTTTATATGGCTTATTAGGACAAAAAACCTGAAGTAAAACTATGCATCCAGTCCGGTCACAAACAAAAGCAAATGCCGAGAATAAAGCTTAAAACTAGAGATAACATTTTCCTTCATAATCTTTCAATTCCTGTAATCTTGCATGTTACTTAATAAATAGCAAGTAGTTTTCAGATAGAAGCATGATTCTTAAATTGACACCCTTCTAAATGCTGCTTTCAGGAAGACTTACTCCTTTGGACCAACAATTCTGCAATGTATTCTAAACTTTTATGAAGAAGTCTTTAAAGTAATACTGCATTAAACTATTAAATGTTTAATAACCCTTATGAAGAATCAGATTAATCATCAAATATATAATAAAATAATCATTAAAAGGTCCAGCAGTCCCAGGGCCCAGTCCTAATCCCACTGACATCAGAAAGAAGTTTCCTAGAATTTAATCCTGGATTAATTAAAAATAATCAAAACAGGATTGGACCCCAAAACTTCAAGGTATTTAGGCTTCTAGACCTAAGTTTGTTTTTTTAATCAATGGAAAATCATAAACGTGACTCTAAAGGTCATGAAATTCTTACCTCATGTGTAGAATAAACAAAAAATAGATATATCTACATCAGAGAAAACAGGAAGCAGATGTGTTGTGACATGGAGCATGATAATAGGCCCATTCTGTTAGCAGATGAAATTGACTAAAGCAGACAGTAAAATGTACATTTCAATTGAAATTGAGCAGTGCCACAGCAAAGCAAAGGTGAGATTTCCTCAAGTCATCTGACATGAGTAAACCAGAGAGGTTTACTAAAAAACAATGTATGCTGTGTAATGAGATTACTGCATTTTAGCAATGGATAACTTAATACTTATAAGACTATAAGAACGGCCATGCTGGGTCAGACCAAAGGGCCATCTAGCCCAATATCCTGTCTTCCAACAGTGGCCAATGCCAGGTGCCCCAGAGGGAATGAACAGAACAGGTAATCAAGTGATCCATTCCCTCTTACTCATTCCCAGCTTCTGGCAAACAGAGGCTAGGGACAGCATCATTATATATAAATTGATTTTAAAAAGCTACAGTAGTGTATACAAAGTACTTTGGATTAAAGGGGCTGTATTAAAAAAAGTCATTAATCCAACAATTTCCTTAGGAGTTGATATTTCACAGATTGTAGTCAACTAATAAGCATGTCCCACAATGCAGTTGGAATCTGGGACATGAGAGTTCGCAGCATTCTGAAATGTCTATAAAAACTAAAGACGCTTTGTGCTATTACGTACAGATTTTTGAGGGGTTGCATAGAAATTCTAAACATAAATCATTCTAAGTCTGCAGGGTTCCTTGAGCATACCTTTGAAAAATCCAACCCAGACTTTCCATAATATAAAAAAAAGTATTCAACAACTTGAGGACAGATGGCAAACAGGGAAGTCTCTCACACAAACTGAATTAGTCATAGATGAATGGAGGTGATCTAACTCTGCCCATTATTAAACTTTATATTATCTCACACCATGTGAGACATTGTAATACAGTTTCCAAATGCTCAGTACAATTACTATCAGCTGGTTAACTATATGAATCCACTGCTCCATGCTACAATTTCTCTATTATCCTTTTAATCTGTTTCAATATAAATAAATATATATATATATATAACAATTTTTAGCTCCTCATAGGCCACCCTCAAAAGGGTACATTCAGAATCAAAATCCTCCCTCTGCTCGTCACTTAACAGCCCATTTGGGAACAGCAGTCTTCTAAATCTAACCAACCAAGCCATGATATCCATAGCTTAATACATTTTTTTTTTTGTTCTACAAATAAAAGCACAACACTCATATTTTAATAAGCAGTAGTCTTACCTTTCTAATGCGATGGATGTGCCCTTTCTCCCCCGCTGCGGTAGCCCCTGAGCTGGGGCTGGGAAGAAGGGCAGTCTCTCCCTCACTCCCCCACTGCAGCAGCTGGGGCTGCGAAGGAGGAACATCTGTCCCCGGCAGCTGTAGCCCTGGACCTGGGGAAAGCCGCCTCTTTCTCTGGCCGCCACAGCTCTGCACATCCCAAATTCCCTCCACCCCCTCTTCTTACCCCACTGCCCCTTCCCACCTACCTCCTATTCCCCCCCACAAGGACACCATCTCACCTTACATGTGCATCTTCTCCAGGGTTCGGGCACCTAATTAGTG